AGACGCATCGCCAACAAGCGAGGCGGGGTCAAGGAGGGCGACGTTTACCGCATAGTGCACGCGTTTGTCGTCAGCCGCGTCCTCTACACGGTACCTTACATACGACAACCGACAAGAAGAAGCTCGATTCTATCATAAGACAAGTGTACAAGTTGGCCCTCGGACTCCCCATGGCCACGTCTACGGACCGCCTCATGCTACTTGGAATACACAACACGGTGTCCGAACTCGTCGAGGCGCACCGGAGCTCTCAAATCGTGCGTCTCTCCAAGACGCCTACCGGGCGCGCCGTCCTGGAAAGGCTGGGGATCGAGCCGGAACCTTTGCAAGAGGCCCCGGTCGACGTTCCGAAGACGGTTAGGAAAGCGTTGGAAGTCCGCCCGGTACCGCGGAATATGCACCCTCAACATCACGAGGAGCGGAGAAAGGCGCGAGCTGACGCCCTCAACAAGCAGCATCGTACCAACTCTGGCGTCCTTCACGTGGACGCTGCACCGTATCCGGGCGGCGCCTCTCGTAACGCCTGTTTCGCGATCGCCGTGGTAAACAGCGACGGATCCACGGTCGCCCAGGCCTCCGTGACCACCAAAGCCACTGCAGTGGCGGAAGAGGCGGCCGTTGCACTGGCCCTGGTCCACGCGGGCCCCCTCTCAACGACGATCACCAGCGACTCCAAGACGGCAGTCCGCAATTTCGCCAGAGGCAGGGTGTGCGCGGTAACGGAACGCATCCTTCGATCCTTCAAGCCCGGCTCCGACCGCACCAGACACCGTCTGGTGTGGGTCCCCGCTCACTCGACCCACGAGGGGAACAAAACGGCACACGCAACGGCAACTCGAGCAACTTCCCTCCGAATGCCGGCCGGCACGCTGCCAAGCTCCCTTAGCGGCGTCGACGAAACGGCGTCCCACCACCTTTCGATGTCCAAGGACTGCCTGACGGTGTTCCAAGAGATCTTGCAACACTACCGCCTAGAACGCAGACTGTATCCACCACCCGACAAAAGTCTCAACAAGTTCCAGGCCCTGAGGTGGAGACAGCTGCAGGCAAATACCCTCCCCTGCCCGGCCTTTCTGCGCAATATCTATCCAACCGTCTTCGACGGGAGGTGCGCTCGCTGCCCGCCACCAGACCCCGCCGACGGGGGGACTGGCCCGACCAAGGCCACCATCGCACACTTGTTTTGGGAATGTCCCTTCGACCCTCCCTCACCTACTCTACGGGACCTCGTCGCTCACCTTCGAGAAGGAGAAGAGGACCCGCTGGATCCCCCTTGGGCTGTGCTTCTCCGAAGCTCGGACCCACACATCCAAGCCGCAGTCGTCTCCCGAGCGGACAAGATAGCGACGGAAGTCACGAAGACCTTACAAAAAGCGAACGTGCACCCGACGTTTGACTTGGCGTGAACATCGGTGCATGCCATGCACCGATGTTCACGCCAAGTCACATCCCTTCCAGAACAGAGAAAAGCCACCTCGCATGCATTCCTTTTTAGTTCGGGAACAGAATTTTTTTCTTTTTGAGAAGCCGCGGTAGGTAAACCTCTATCCTGCGGCTTCTTGATGTGGTGTTCCATTAAACTTGTTTCTCTCTCTAAACGACTGCGCGTCTCGTTGCAGTGTTATAGCTACGCCACTAAAAAAAATTGCTTTTCGCCGTTGACGTTAGGTCCAACAAAAGGACCTCCCATGGGTGACTCAAAATCCTCGCCGGCGACTACAGTATCCTGACCCACCTGACACGCCTGACAAGTAAAACGTTTTCAACAAAGAGGAGGTCTCCCTGGCGTGGAAGGTCGGAAGGACGCGAAAGATTACGTGAACAAGCCTCGGCGCTCGTACGGTTGCAGCTGGAAGCGCGAACGTGCTCCCTGATCGGATTATCCGTGTCTGCGTTTGTGCGCGGGGGAGTCCGGCTTTGCAAGGGAGTATGCGCTGACGACCAGGCGACCATGGGAACAGGCGCCCAGCTGCGAGGTCATTCCAGTGGCGCCTACCGCGGATCATACCGCTTGAGTCAGAACTCACTAAAGGCACACAACATGAAAGCAACAACAACCCACGGAGTGTCCCCGTCTTTCACGGTTGCAGCTGGAGGCGCGGCGCTTGCGTGCATTACCGGATTAGGTCAACACCCGACCAAGGCTTGTTAAGCATCTCTGCCTACGTTCGTGCGCCGGTGTTATGTTTTGGCTGCTCGTCGCCATCTTGGCCCAAGGACGCCGGTGATGCAGTTTCTAGGGCTGCCGAGTGTTGCGTGGGAACGGAATGTGCGGGGGCCCCTTGTTCATGAATAGCGCTTAATCTGCCAGCGTCTTGTTTATTTCTGCACTCAAACTTTTCTGATGAAAAAAATAGGATGAAAATTCGAAAGTAATTAGTAATTTGAGTAGAAGTTACCTGAGAAACGTAGTTAAATTAAACTACTAATTACCAAAACAAAGTTGTAATTGAAAGTTACCAAGTTACTCGGAAAAGTAGTTAAACTACAGTAGTTTGAGTAGAGTAGTTGAACTACGTCCAAGTCTGGTCTTGGGCCACTGATAGTGAAGAGCAGTGGAACAAAGCTAGTTTCCTCCAAGGGTCCAAAACCACGTAGGTCACAAAAGAAAGAAGGTAAGGTGCACGATTCCGGGTAACATGATGTGTTTGACGGAAGTTTACATATAACCTTTTCTGTAAACAAGAAAAAAAAAACACATTGCTAGGAAATATTGTTTAGAAACCGGTGTTGTTGTTTTTTTTGTTTTTTTTTTTTGCTTTTGTTTTTTAACGATTTTTATTTCCGTCATCCTGCGAGTATTTATTTGTATTTTTCGGTTAAAACTGGGAAGTATTCAGGACTTTTTCGGTGAAAAAAAAAAACAAAAAAAACACCAGCGCTTGATTGAAAATATGAAAAACTGTGTTTTTCAGTTACACCGGCGGATGTTTATTGGTGCTTTTCAGTTAAAACCGGAAAATATACAGCCTAGTTATGTTGTATGCTAAGGGGACAGAGCAATTCCTCATAGAGGTGCACTAAAGATGTCTTTGAAGACGCTTGTTTTTGTTGTTCTATAAAGTAGTAGGTGCCAATTAATGTTTATTCTAAGTTTCAGATGACAAAAATGCTCACAGGACGATAGAAATACATGCCAATTAGGTTTTCTACGAATACTTGCAAGCATAAGATATGGATGATGACGATGGAAACAGGACTTCTTTCATTGAAAGAAGTCCTGTCTTCGTCTTCCATGTTTTATGCTTTCATATCTATTCACCAACACGCTCGTTTTCAATTATTAGGTTTTATCCTTGCCTTTTTCTGTGGGAGTGATGTGTTTGCTCATCTGCTTCCCAGAGATGAAAGATTATGCAGCTTACCAAATAAAAATCGCAGACGCAGTGTGCGCATGGTTCAAGCCGCACATGCATTGACTTCCTTCTCAGATCAATCCGCAGGGGCAGCAGTTGCTTGTTGTTTGCTAACAAGCACCTTCGTCATTGCTCAGATGCAATGGCTGTGCCCCCTGGGTTTCTGCGAAATTTCGCAGAAAAAGACGCATGTTGAAAACTTTGATCACATTCTTAATAGGGAAATAGGCTGTACATGGTTGTAATTTTTAAAGGATAAGTGTAATAACAAAAACGGATTTACATAACAAAAATAACAATTTAATTAAACGTTTCGCCTCCCATGCGGGAGGCATCTTCAGTAGAGCACAGAGCGAGTGAAAGCCGCACGAAAAAGTTCGGCTATTTTGGCATAAAGTTTGTGTACACGTCCGGCAGGGGGCCACGGTTCTTGTTTACCAGCGATGAATCACTTCCGCGTTTGTCGTTCTGGATGAACCAAGATTCCAGCAGCTTCCTCGGTCTCCACCTTTTATCCCTCGCCAAGGTCGATGCCTTTTCAAAGTCAAATTGGTGTCCTGACGTCCATGCGTGGTCGACGAGTTCGGACTTGAAGCGGGTGGCGTTCGTAAATTTCAATATTAACGATTTCATAATTTACGAATGTCCCCAACGCCCTGGCGGTTGATGTCGCCCGTGACCGGTTGTTGGCAGACCAGTCGTTGTCAACTCGCACAACCCTCCTTGTTGATGACGTTATACTCCTTTTGCGTTTTTGTCTCAACCAGTGCAAATTTAGTTTTAATGGGGAGATATATCATCAGGTCAACAGATGCCCTATGGGGAGTCCAGTTTCCGTAACTGTCTCGAATCTCGTCATGGAATATGTTGAGGAAAAGGTAATGCCTGGCATTGATTTCCCCGTGAAGTTCTACCGTCGTTATGTCGATGACACTTTTGTAATAGTTAACAGAGAGAACGTAACCGATTTTCACCGCAATTTGAATAGTGTGCACCCCTCAATTCAGTTCACCTGCGAACATGAAACCGACAGTACCCTGCCGTCTTTAGATGTACGTGTCCATAGGACTAGTGAACCTTTCTTTAAGATGGAGACATCCGTATAGCGTAAACCATGTGACACACAAAACTTTCTTGACTACCACTCATCACCCTACTCAGCACAAAAGCTCAGTTGTAAGATTGTTACTTCATTGTTCAGAAACAGTCCCATCTAACTCAACAGTTAGCAATCAAGAACTTAGCCATGTGCGGGAGGCTTTGAAAAAACGTAACTACCCCGACCGATTTATCAATCGCGTTAAGAAACAAATGTCCCGTCGGCGCCCGGATCGAGCCGAACGAACACGCGACGTTGTGTGCATCCCGTACGTTAAGGGGGTTTCGGAGGCATTGGGACGCGCCCTTAGGCCGTTGGGGGTACGAACTGTATACAAACCCTACAGAACAATTGCCAATGTTATCTCCAAGCCAAAAGACCCGACCCCGCAAGAGGCAGAAAGGGGCGTGATCTACCAGGTGCAGTGCAAGGAATGTGACGCTTCCTACACTCTCAACAAAAGGGTTGTCGTTGGATACTACACTTGGGGTAGTCAGAAGCCGTCACAGATATCGCTACCCCCCCTTCGTTATACTAACAACCCCATGGTTGAGTTCTTCCTTCCCCGTGGGACCATCCTCGTGTGTTGCGTTTACTGCCCGCCCTCTTCACGTGAAAAAGCCTACAGACTTCTCGACAGTTCCCTGGAGGCTGCTGCTTCAAAGCCTTACGTGAATATCCTTATCTTCGGCGACTTCAACTGCCACGTAGACTGGTGCTCCCACGAGGTTCCTGTCCCTCGTGACAACACGGACGATGTGCTCCTCGAGACCACGACTGCTGCGGGCCTGGTCCAGGTGTGTCAGCAGCCGTCGTATACGTCCCGCGAGGGTGTACCGAGTTTTCTCGACCTCGTCTTCACATCCGACGCAACACGCATAGAGCTTGTGGAGACTTCCGAAGGCCTCCACGGCAGCGACCATCTGGCCGTGGAGCTACGTTATGCAGTCTCGTTGCCCCGTACTGGGCATCACGCTCTTAGGTTGTGGAGGTTCCGGCAGCTGGACTTCGGGCACATGGCTCAGCTGGCCCACCTGACGCCATGGTGCATGACCACCACCGGTTCAGACTGGTCATCGAATTACGATCTCTGGTGTGATTTCATGTTCGCAATCCAGAAGGAGTGTGTGCCCTGCTCCACACACTCATCGAAACGAAAACGCCTGCCATGGATCACGCCAGACATCATAAAGGCAGCGCGAACCAAGCAGATATTGTTTCGGAGGGCACGCCGATCTCATTGCCCAGCCGCCCTACGATTGGCAAAGGAGCACCAGCGGACGCTGAAGGCTGCTATCTACGTCTCCCACCAGCAGTATGTTCGCGACATTGCTGAAAGAGCCAAGACCGATCCAAAGGTCTTCTGGACCTTCATTAGCCAACTGCGTTCTACGTCACAGCGACCGAGTTTTACCATCAGTGGTCGCGCAGCTAACTCCCCACAAGAAATAGCCAACCTCTTTGCTGACCATTTTGCTTCTATTAACAACAACAGTCCGCCTCCGAGTTCCTCGGGATTCACAGCACCAAATGTATGTCAACCGGAACTACCTGCACCACGACCCCTGCCTGTGTATGCAGATGACGTTCGACAAGAACTTTCCAGGGTGCTGTTTTCAGAGAAAACATTGCAGGAGGCACTCGCCAAAATCAAGAACTCTTGCAGTCCTGGGCCAGATGGGGTCGCTCCCATTTGGTTTAAGCTGTTCTGCTCGCATGTTCTTCCAACCACATCAAGTTACTTCAGGGTCTACTGGACAGTGGGGTCGTCCCAGAAGCGTGGCAAGAAGCGCTGGTCACTCCACTCCACAAGGGAAAGGGGAAGCCAGTGGACGAGCCAAGGCACTACCGTCCGGTTTCAATCACCTCAATTGTTTGCCGGACATTTGAGAGGGTTGTTAACGCCCAACTTCTAAGCTACCTCGAAGAATCAAAATACCTCTCGGACAGTCAACACGGCTTTCGTAAGGGCCGCAGCTGTGAAACCGCCCTCTCAACCATAACACATTTTATTAGCGACAACATGGACAACCAAGGCACTTCGGATTTAATACAACTCGACCTTAGCAACGCATTCGACACCCTGAACATTCAACTCCTGCTGGAGAAGCTCGCCCATGCTGGGGTACAGGGCTCCTTGTTTACCTGGGTCTCTGGCTTCCTGCGTAATCGCAGTCAACGGGTTCTGTACCACGGCACACACTCTGCACGGACACCCATCTCCTCTGGTGTTCCGCAGGGTTCGGTCCTCGGTCCGACGCTGTTCCTGCTCTATGTGAACGACATGCCACGCAGTGAGAAGTGTCTTCTGGTGCAGTACGCGGACGATACGTCAATTGTGGCGTCAGTGTCATCACAATCTGACGCAGATCACCTCCAACTGTATCTTGCTGAGGTTGAGGACTGGACCACAGCGCAACACCTTCGTCTCAGTACCTCCAAGAGTGGTGTGATGCGTTTCACGAACAGTAAAAAACGCGACAAACCCTCTTACACTGCCGGAGGTGCTCCTCTTACTATTTCGGACCACCTGACTATATTGGGTGTCACCTTCTCGCGGAACTTGGACTTTTCCGTACACATTGCAACTGTTGTTGCAACTGCCCGGAGGACTTTGGGTTTTGTTTCTCGAGTGACAAGGCCGAGTGGACCGGCGGCACTGCGCACACTTTATACTGCCCTGGTCCTACCCTCGTTAGAATACTGCTGCGCAGTGTGGTCGCCTCCTCAACAACACCTCCTCGACCGCCTAGAAAGTGTACAGCGTCGTACATCACGCATCATCTGTGCTCGGATCTCAGGCCATGCTGATATATCGTACCCCGCGAGGTTGAAGGTCCTTGGCTGGCGTCCTCTCGACCAGAGGCGAAGAATTTCGCGGGTCCAAGTGCTGTGCCATCTGCTCGACGGGTCACTTCCTGGCAACAGACTGTCCGCCCTCGTACGTGTCAGCAAAAGGACCGGGCAGCCTCAACCACTCCGTGGCAGGACTCTGCGACACAGTGAATCATTGTTGCCTGCGGCTATCAGGGACTTTTTGTCCATGCCATTGGCTGCCCGTAGTCCTTTGCCCAGGGAGCCTGAGGAGTCCCAGGCTCTCTGTAGAGTCTTCGCAGGACAAATGTCTTCGAGTCAGGGTTAGGCGCCGCTCGCGCACTTGCGGTGGAGTGGGTCGGAGGGGGGGTGGGGCCGGGCCTTTTGGGCCTCTTGCGACGTCTTGGGACCGGACGCACTGCTGCGGAGCTGGTCTTAGGGCGTCGCGGGGGGCTTGGGGGCCGGTCTTGCCTCTCTCCGTCCTACTCGGTTGCGGGTGTGAACTGTGCTCTAATCTAAACTGGCGCAAACTTTCAGCTTTCTCACCCTGTATTTAGCTTCATTGTCATTATTTTATTTCCTTGTCGCATCTTATTTTAGTTTTGTGGACGTCATTTTGTGACTCTTATGTACACGGCGGCAGGCAAGCAGGCGCACAGGCGTAAGGGTTTTAACCTCTCTGCTTCGCCTTGCACGCTGCCGTGTACGTGCCTGATCTGTGCAAAATAAATCAAATCAAATCAAATCAAATGGGCAGTCACACGGCAAGCAATCAGCAGGTAATCATAGTGAGCACCCCCAAAAGCAACATGGCGGCTGGCAAGCGACAGTGGAGCAATACGAGTAAGGCCTAGCGAGCTGGACTGCTTTTTGCTAAAATACGATTCTCAAGTGCGTACGCCCGTTCGCTGCCTTCCGTGCGCACAAAGCACTCCGAAACGCGCCTCGAAGCACCGGCACCGCATCTAATACGAGTAGGGGCGACGATGTGAGGGGGGGGGGGGGGGGGGGCGCATTCGAGGGGGTTTGTCCGCGATTGCTTTCGCGAGGCCGGCTGCATTTATTTCGCGGCCAGAAAACATTCAAAGAAGGAAGCAAAATAGCGACAAATGGAATGATGTCTTTATTGAACAGAGCATCTGCTTGCTGTGCTTGCCGCAAGTGATCCGGCGTTTTCAGTTGACAGCCGCGAGGCGAAGCATCACCGATTTAAGCGGCGTCGGTTCCGATCGTTCAACGCTCCTGCTCACCTGTTAGCATTCGTCATCCACTTTCAAGTCCCTGGTAATCCTCACCGCGTCTGTGCACGCACTTGGCGCTATTCACCGCACGGAACACCCATTCAACTGGCTATGGGACTGATCCCATTTGGACGAGAGGCCGAGAAACGAACCAGACCGAACCCTTTGTGGCTGCTGCGTGGAGCCATGGAACGCCTCCATGTTTTTCACTCAAATAAGTAGACACATAAACGCGCGACTCCTTGAATTGGGCGGCGACACGCGCCACCTAACGGACAGCGCTCAAGATAAAAAAGAAAACTGGAATTCTTCCTCTGAGCGCCTCTCCAGTCAATGCCGTATGTACATATCCCACGCCACACTTCACTTATACGCGATATACAGACATCACAGCATCGTATACATCAACGCATTCAGAAACAGCACAAGGTACAACAGCTTATATACTGCTGTATTTTATGTGACCGATTAGGATGGTGACCACTGTCATATTTTGCATAAATACGAGAAGACCGTGCAAGATTTAACCCTATATATTCTTTTCCTCTACTGCCCTTAGGAAAGCGCTCGTATCTCTAATGTAGGGCCATTGCAAAAGTGAACTGCAGGTTATAAATAAATTTGAATAGTTGCTACACGTCACATTTTTAACAGTTTCGTTTTCTCGCTTGCCTACACTTCAAGTATACAGAAGCTTGTTTAATTAATTGTATTAATTATCGAAACCAATTTCTGCAGACACAGCTTTCTGAACACACAGATGCATTTTCTTTTCTCTTTTTACATATCCAGGCTGACTTTAGCGGCGGTTGGGTACACGTTGAGTACACTGAGCACGCGCAGGTGATTTTAGCGAAGCCCGTCCGCCGGCCGGTCCTCCCCGAAGCGTTGTCAGCCGTATGCAGCTCTGAGGTTCCGCGGGTGACTAAAGTGTGGCGCCACATGAAGCTTCCGTACGTCTATCCATAAGTCTTCGTACATCCATTTATTCGTTCCAACCCAGACGTGGTTCCCAGTCTTACCGCCGCAGTTTTGAGCGTCGTGTCGCATAGGTTATCTTCGCCACCATATAATATCAGTCTGCGCGCTTTCAGCCAATCATGGGCGTTCAGGGAGAGATCCGTTATCGACCGTTATTTTTGTTTGATCTTTCGAAGTGCGTGCGGGCGAGGCGGGCGAGTGGCGTGCGGCGTGCGCGAAACGCTCGAGCGCAACCGAAACCTTCGGCGGTGGGGGTCTGCGCGTTAGATGGTTCTTTCAGCTTTCAGTTCCGCGGGATTGCTGCTGTCTATGGATATTACTGTGCAGCAAAGTGGTGCCAGCATACGACAACATCCGCTGACCAGAGGTCGGCATTTTAGGTCGCCCTCACTCACCCTCACCCTCACAGCCACACTCACCTAAGCCCCTCACTCACCCTCACCCTCACAGCTACACTCACCTTCGGCCCCTCACTCACCCTCATCCTCACAGTCACACTCACCTTCAGCCCTTCACTCACCCTCACTGAACCTCACGGACCTCAAGCCCCCAACACCCTCACGGCCCTCACGCCCCTCACGCCCTCATGGCCCTCACGCCACTCACCGCCCTCACGGCCCTCACCACCCTCACGGCCCTCACACACTCATGGCCCTCACGCCACTCACCGCCCTCACGCCCCTCACCGCCCTCACGGCCCTCACGCACTCATGGCCCTCACGCCACTCACCGCCCTCACGGCCCTCACACACTCATGGCCCTCACGCCACTCACCGCCCTCACCGCCCTCAAGGACCTCACGCACTCATGGCCCTCACGCCACTCACCGTCCTCACCGCCCTCACGGCCCTCACCGCCCTCACGGCCCTCACACACTCATGGCCCTCACGCCACTCACCACCCTCACGGCCCTCACGCACTCATAGCCCTCACGCCACCCACCGCCCTCACGCCCCTCACGCACTCACCGCCCTCGCGGCCCTCACACCCCTCACGCCCCTCACGCACTCATGGCCCTCACGCCACTCAGGCCAGCTTCAGATGGGGCAATTTCGCCCAGAAACCTGACGTCGCAACACCAGCAATACGGGCCACACGCGATCACACGCAGCAACCAATTGCTGCAATTTGCCATCGTCATCATAAAATGTTATTTTTCTTGCACTATTTTCATGCATCTAAATCTCGTTAAGAATACTAATGCACCTTTCTGAAACAGTTTACTTCCAAAAACAATCGATTTCAAACCAGACCCAAGTCTTTCGGTGTTATCATCTCCGGCACGAGGTATCACGTGAAAATGTTTCGTCCCTGATTGGATGCAGCCGCTTCAAACGTCTTCGAATTGCTCCGAGTTGCTTGCTTATTTCGAGCCAGACCCGACCTCAGCAATTCGTGTCGATCTAGGGAAAGCTAGAGAACAACCCGCCATCAACACCACAATTGCTGAGAAAGGTGCTCCGTCTGAAGGGGGCCTCAAGCACTCACCGCCCTTACGCACTCATGGCCCTCACACCCCTCATGCACACACCGCCCTCACGGCCCTCACGGTCCTCACGCCTCTCATGCCACTCACTGCCCTCACACACTCATGGCCCTCACACCCCTCACGCGCTCATGGCCCTCACACCCCTCACGCACTCACTGCCCTCACACCCCTCACGCACTCATGGCCCTCACGCCACTCACCGCCCTCACGCCCCTCACGCACTCATGGCCCTCACACCCCTCACCGCCCTCACCGCCCTCACGGCCTTCACGGCCCTCACTCACCCTCACACTCATGAATTTTCCTGATTCAGAAACTCACTCACCCTCACCTCACCTGTGAAGATGAGGGTGAGTGAGGGTGAGTGAGGGTGAGTGAGGGCCCTCATGAG